AGCACATAGGCTTTGATTTCCCTTTTACTGTTTCAAAAGTCATTTTTAAAAATTATTTTCTAGTTTCTGGCTATGTTCTGGTAGTTGAGGTTGCCAGAGAGGTGATTTGCAGTTAGCATTCTGTATTAATAACTGACTATTCCTCCTGTATAATTTCACAGTTTAAAATGTCCTGGCTTTGCCAGGAGATGGCATCAGTTTGTCTGGTAGCTTATAGCTATGGGCCTTACATTGTTTGCCTTTGAGAGTTTCAAAAATATCCACTTATTCGCAACCCATCAGTTTCATATATCTGTACAGATGATTTGAAATCCAAGCAGAAAACTATTTGGAGCAATATACTGCAAATTAAACAAGGAACCCCTTAATTAGGTGTGAGCTTTTCCATTACACATGCATGTAATGCTCTCTGGAAAAGTGCATGGTGGGCAGCGCTCAGGCTGAGGACTAAACTGTGAGAGCCCCTTTAAACCATTGCTTGTTAAGCATCGTCACTGTCATAGATTAAAACTAGACAGATACGAGCACTCTCTATTATTCTCTCCCAGTCCAGAAAGGGAGCAGCAACTTTCTTACTCCTTAGTCTAAACTTAACCATACAACAAAATATGACCGTTTCCCCATATTTTTAGCCCATTTGGGAGAATTAGCCAGGCTTGGATGTACCTCTAGTTCTTTTACATGAGTCTGGAGTCTGAGAGACATGAGTTCAAATCTTGATTCCAGCACTTACTGGCCAAATGACTGTATTGAAGTTTCTTAATATTTCTACACCTTGCTTTTTTATATGTAAAATAGGAATATTCTTAGCATCTATCTCATAGGGTTGTTGTTAGGATTAAATGAGATGATATATGTGAAGAACGTCTTGGAACCTTTAGGCATGAAGATCAATTTAGGGTATATTAACTATTAATGGGCTACTTAAAAAATTGAGATTGGAAATATATTTAAGTCCCTTGGAAAGAATATATATCCATACAAATTAAATTACCTACATTATTTAATAGAAGAATGTCAGTGAGAAAATGGCATGCTCATTATCCCCAGCAATTTTGCTATCAGGGCACAATTCTAATATTTCATTGTGGAATTAGCTTGTGAATCAAAAGGGATCCAAAGACCATGGGATGCTCCATGTTGAACACAACATGAAGAGTTGATGGATAATTTGACTGATTAGAATGACTTATCACTTAACATCATCAATAAATCACAGCATGGGAAACCATACTGCATACCTTGAATATTATTGCTTCAACTCTCATTCCCCTCTCATAGCACAAAGCATTTTGCTTAACAACAGCCGCGTTCTTTTTTTTTTTTTTTTTTGAGATAGAGTCTCACTCTGTAACCAGGCTGGAGTGCAATGGTGCAATCTCGGCTCACTGCAACCTCTGCCTCCCAGGTTCAAGCGATTCTCTTGCCTCAGCCTCCTGAGTAGCTGGGATTACAGGTGCATGCCACCACGCCCAGCTAATTTTTGTATTTTTAGGAGAGATGGGCTTTCAACATCTTGGCCAGGCTGGTCTTGAACTCCTGACCTAGTGATCCATCCGCCTCGGCCTCCCAAAGTTCTGGTATTACAGGCATGAGCCACCATGCCCAGCCACTACGTTCTTATTAAAGTGAGCCCACAGGAAATGTTTGAAAATGGTATCCTAAGACCAGAATCACATAAAGGTTCGTTGAAATGCAGATTTCTGAGGCTGGGCTGGTTCTGGGAGTATGAATTATTAAGGATGCAAATGATGACTAATTTACAGAGTTATTGCCCTGAAATGTACAGAGGTAGACTTTTTAAGCCTTTTTTCTTGAGTTTTCCATTTTTTTCTTGTGCATTTTCTCCAAACAACAAAGCAGTTAATCTAGAACAGTGATTTCAAACCCCACCTCCCACCACTTTAGGATTGCACATTGAGAGTCTGATTTCAAAGGTGGGCAGAGAAGCTTGGATCAGTCTAATGTTTCTCCAGAAATCACGGTTCTGACAATCCTGATTTTATCAAAGCTCTATGAGTGCTAAATAGATTTTCTGAATAGAAGACTAGTATCTTTCTCTTGTTAATTATTTTATTAAAAGATAGATAACTGTATGTTTTATCCTAGTTTAGCCTTAAAAGAAAACCTAACCCCAAGCCTGTATATGATGTAGTATCTGACATTTTGAATAAATAATGGAACATCTGGAATCTTCAAGATCAACCTAGAAATTTCAGTTTTGCACAAATCTCTTAATACTCTAGGATCTGGAAAAACAAATTACATTCCCTATGCTGAGTAAAATCAGATTAATGAAACATCATAAGTATCTTAGTGTAATACTCCAGATTTGACGTAATCTACGACCGCCCTCCTCTGCAACACATAGTTTTAGAGAGACACATTCTCCTTTGCCTCAGAGAAGCCATATTTTCCCCACACCGTCATCCTCCGTGGCTATCACAACTGGCTTACTTATTTTTTTAAGTTAAATTATTTGTCTTCCATATAGCTGGAGAAAGTCAATTATCATAAAAACTTCACTGAATTCTTGTTGGGTATCTTCAAATGTGACACCCACATAAGGAAAAAGAAAACTTCTCCAAAGGTCCTGATGAAGGTGGAGCAGTTTTAAAATTACTCAGGGCTTAGTACTCAACTTTTCAGCTGGAAGCAGATGTCCATGCTGTGAGAGGAAATTCCGACATTCAACAAATGTTGAGTTCAAAGTCCCAGGACTCAAGAAATACATTCAGTACTTTGCCGGAAGTAATGCACGGAAAACAAACACTTTAGTACCTGCAACATTACAGGATAAGGGCATACTAGCAGGTGATGAATATCATGCCTTAGGAACTCCAAGCAGACAGTGATTTTCTGTACTTTACTTTAGAGGTGAGGTCAGCATTGGAGGCTCAGAGAAAGTTGCAGGCAGAAGGCACTGCATTTTGGTTGGAGGTGATTTGAAGGTGTTTGTTATTTCATGCGATAGGGATGAGGGAAAATGGGTGGTAGGGAGACAGGTTTACTTGTTTATTTCCCATCTCCTGTGAAGTATTTGACACCTGGGAGTTCCAATTAGCATTTTTGGAGCTGTGTTTCAGATCAGCCTTATGTTTTTCAATTGGCAATAATCTGAGATGTCCCAGATGATCTTTTACACTTTGGTTAAACATTGTGATGATGACTTTGTAACTACTTCAAATGGCTGAACCGCTGGCCAAATTTTGAAAAGCAGATCATCAATCCAGAAAGCGTGACATTGTGTTCACACACAACCAAGGATTGCAAATGATGCAATATTAGCATCATATTCTTCATCCAAGACAACTTACCAGAATCCTGTGCATAAATTAATAGTTAAGATTATTTTTGTAGTTCTCCAGTGATCCGATAGTGCAAACTCTCTAGTGACTATACATAGACATCAGTATCTAGAGTCTAATCAAGTTGTCCATGTGATATGCTGAGTTCCCTGAAGAAACCCAGGAATTTTTAGAACAGCATTAGTTACCTCTAAAAGTGTTATTTCTTCCACTTTCTTTCTTATGTTATCAAATAGTTTTGCATTAGCTCGAAAGGGGGTAATCTACTTACTCTATCAGATCCTTTATCTGTATTATCTGTGGCAAAATAATTCTGCTGACTTTGAATAATTACCAACAGCTCCCTTAACATGGCCATAATTCTCTCTCCATCTGACTGAGGAATGTTCTTAAACTCCCTTAATCATTCCAGTCCACATTCTTTCAGTACAGCAACAGAGTGTCTGTAACTTTTGTTTCCTTTAATTCAGGATCATCAGAGTGGGTAAAAACAATGACCACCTTTCATAGAGTGACCCATACTTACAGTGTTTCAAGTATATTATCTCATTTGATCCTCAGGACAAAAACTTATATCCATATATGTATATATAAATGTATGTGTCGATTGCTTTTTATAGGTAGTATTGAAACCACAGTTCAAGGGCAGTAACCCAAGATTACTCCACTGGTGAGCAATAAACTTGGGATTTTAACCACAGTCTTTGCTTTCAAAAGTCTATTTTGTTAAGGCTCATAAAATAATTATTTGGTTTAGCAAAGTCCCTTGCTTATTTATATAAACCACTTTAAACATATTAAGTATATTAGTTAGAACCTTTTTTTTTTGAGACAGAGTCTCGCTCTGTTGCCAGGCACCAGGCTAGATTGCAGTGGCACGATCTCGGCTCACTGCAACCTCCACTTCCCAGGTTTAAGCAATTCTCCTGCCTCAGCCTCCCACGTAGCTGGGACCACAGGTGTGCACCACCACGCCCAGCTAATTTTTGTATTTTTTAGTAGAGACGGGATTTCACCGTGGTCTCGATCTCTTGACCTCGTGATCTGCCCGCCTCGGCCTCCCAAAGTGCTGGGATTACAGGCTTGAGCCACCACGCCTTGCTAGTTAGAAACATTTTGAATACTAGTGAAGAAAAACAACAACAACAGAAAAAACTCGAGCTAGTTTAGTAAAAAAATGGAAACTTATTATTCAGTTGTCTGCAGGAGAAAGCAAGGGTGTGGCTGAACACAGGCCCCTGGGGTCAGGGAATCTTGTTCTGTCAGGCCTCTCTGTCCCTCTTTTTCTGTCTTTTTCTTTTTACCACACCACCTCCCACCCCCCCACCCCAACCTTTTTTTCCCAGACAAACTTCTTTACATAATGAGAAGCAAAGCCTTCAGTAACACCTCTAGCTGGTTTGGGTCAAATGCCCATCTCTGGACTCATCGATTGTGGTCAAAACAATGGGGCTCTATCATGTGAAACCCCCATTATTAGAACCTCCACATATCTAGAATCAGGGAGAGAGGATTCCCCAAAGAGGGAGGTTAACATTCCCAGGAGGAGGGAATTATATGATTTTCAACTTATATTTTCATATGAGTAGAAATGCATTTACCACACTCCCAATTTATATCAGAATTTCTGATTTTCTGATGCTCTAACCGCATTTCCTAATGCTACACTGCACCCAGCACAATGTCTGGCACCCAGCAGATAGATGTTCAACTACTATTCCTGAAAGTATAAATACATTTCATGGATTTTTCCCTTCATTCTACTGCTTCATTTAAAATATTTTGTGTTTTCTTACATTCCATCTGGAAGTCTATAACTTTGTACCTTGTGTAATAAAGAATTTGACACTATCACTCCTCCAAAATAATATGTTAAAATGGTAAGCATTCTATGGTTTTCTTGATACTTTTTTTTTTTTTTTTTTGAGACAGACTCTTGCTCTGTCTCTCAGGCTGTAGGGCGGTGGTGTGATCTCAGCTCACTGCAACATTTGCCTCCCAGGTTCAAGCGAGTCTCCTGCCTCAGCCTCCCAAGTAGCTGAGAATACAGGCGCTCGCCACCACACCCAGCTAATTTTTTGTATTTTATTTTAGGAGAAACGGGTTTTCACCATGTTGGCCAGACTGGTCTCAAACTCCTGACCTCAGGCAATCTGCCCGCCTCGGTTTCCCAAAGTGTTGGGATTACAGGCGTGAGCCATCCTGATCGGCCAGAGACACATATTTATATATAAAAGCAAATTTATCTTGTCATTGAGATGCGCATCCACAAGTCACAAACCCCATTCTAAGGTCAGCTTTGTGGTTTACTAAGTGATGTCAATTTCCCAACATGGTGCATGACAAGGTGCATATGTAACTGGAATAAAAGCCAGGGCAAAAAGTTGAAACCAGCCTCGTTGTCTGGGTATTACTGGAAGTTCTTGGTCTCACAGCTGAGGTAATCAAGGATGCGGATACTCCAGACTTGAGGTTAGAGCAGAAATTTGATAAGCGAAAGGAAGAAAGCTCTCTGGAGCAGAGAGGGGTCCCAAAAAGATGGATTGCCGTTTTACAGAGAAATGCAAGGGTTTTCATAGACAAACTGAGGGAGATGGGTATTTTGTTTACATAAGACTTGAATTTCTGACAGTTCGCACCCCACTTTTTCTAGTGTGCATGCGCGCTTCTTAGTCTGAGTTAATGTTGCTTATCTCTTCCTACTGCGCATAGGTGAAAAAGACGAGGCAGCAGAACCCAACCCTCCATGGTGGGTGGACGCACCTGGTAGATCTTCCCATCGGTGCTGCTGTAGGCACTCCCCCTGTGCAAGCCTCCTTGTCTGAGTATTTCCAAGAAGGGAGAGGACCGTGCACACTGGGCCCACTGTATGTCTGTATGTCACACAGGAGGTTTCTTTCTGTGTTAGAAGGAAATTCTACTAAGGACTCTTGCCCCAACTATCTGCCTCTGATTTCTCTCTCTCCTCTCACAGAGTTCAGCAGAAAGAACTCCAATCTATCAAGCAAAAGTGATTAAGAACAATTCAGATCTTTATTGGATGCTTAGAAAATATACAAGGAAATCTAATTTGTAGCTCCCACATACCGAAATTTTTGTCACCATTTCTGTTGTTTTTGTTTAATTCAGTAATATTTACTAAATGTCTCCTGCGTGTCAGAAGTGCTTCCAATGCCCATAAAGCCTGCACAGCTCCGTTCCCCTAGATCCCCTCTCCACTCCTTGGATTCAACTCTCAACTTCAAACTGACTTTTGAAGTCAGTCGGGTGGGGGAGGGTGGTTCTTGACTTACAGGGCCTCCTCTCCCTTCCAAGATTTTTCATTCTGCACATTATTTTAATTCTTTCTAATAATTAATTCTTGATCTTCATTTGTGACATCTAGTGACCCAAAGGCAGCTCCCAACCTCCCTGGGAGTTGATATGGGTGGGGTTTGGAAGAGAGGGGAGGTAGGAAGAGCTGCTCTTCCCAGGAAGGGGTTTTGTTTTGTTTTGCGTTTATTTGTTTTGGTTTTTAGTAGATGGGGGATGTGCACATAGGAGGTGAGGGACAGAGCAGACTGCAAATCCTGTAACTGATCCGTTTACTATCAGTTCTTTCAGCTGAGTAATATGCTTTTCAAAAGTGACTTTCTATGTTTCAGAGACAGAAGAGGGGAGAAAAAGAAGTGAAAGTTGTGGGAAGGAGGTAAAAGAAGAGAATGAATTCTCTCTTCAGCTGAGGAAGTGGAAGAGTGAGAAGAGCTTCCAGAGTCCAGGTAACCTCTCTTTGACTCCTGATTTTTATTTCCCTAAATGCCTTAATGACTTGTAACAAAGGTGACTGTCGTGAAGGCTACATGGTGTATGTTTCTCTTACTGCTGTCTGCTGTGGAAGACATAGGAGTTAGTTTTGGGAAGATGTGTAGTGGAGAAATAAAAAGTAGACACAGTGGTTGAATGCAAAATGAATCATAGGAATTACCTGGTAAAATGGCTTAAAATCATATTCCAGGCTTTGAAGTCATGGAAAATCTGTCTTAATGTATTGGAACCTAATCTGATAATTTCACCAGGCTTCCCCATCCAGGGAGCTCTCTGTAATTTGTTCAGAAGTAAACAAATTAACAGCATTTAATTAGCCAATTGCCATGGACGTTGACGAAATCTACAGGTTTCATTATTTGGTGTCCAAAGACATTTATTCCTATTTACATCAAAAACATTTGGAATTCTTAAAGAGAGTAAGCCTTTATTTGAAAGAAATACACCTTGAAGTTCTTTAAGGATGAAAGCAGAATTGTCTTGGAGCTGATGCTAAAGCAGAGCAAGAAGACCATGTGTATCTTCAAATAAATCTTGAGAAACTCCTGAGATTTGGGAAAGGAATAGTACACTGCCTGTAGCTGAGCCTCACAGAAGCTTATTACAGCATAGAAGAAATTGGTGGAAAACTCACATGGGCATCAGAAGTTTCCTTTTATTGGAAACTTGCAGTTTTGGAGACTCCTTATAATTTAAAGACCTGAGTTGTTAACAGGAATCTAAATCTAGCACTAGAAACAGTTGAGATGATTCTACAGTGCATCTGCCCAGATCCTCATTATTAGATTTTCTGGGTGTTTTCTTATTTTTGACAGTTGCCTCACTCAAATTGAGGCTCTCTTTTAAATTTGTCTAAAATTAACTGGCATTTTCAGGTATATTGGCATCGTTTTAAAATCCACTTATTTTTAAGAACATTTGAATGTGAAAAGAGGTGTATATGCAAACTATTGGATCAGGCAAGTTTCCTTCAGGCTGTCTGGATGTGTCTATCTATAGCACTTGGCAAATATCTAGCTGTCACTCAAAAAAGACAGCTTATGTTCAAAGTTAATCTACAGTACCTACTTGAAGTCTGCTTTATTTATTTTTTTAATTTGGCCAGATTATTCTTGGGGAATGGAAAGGAAAGAAAATGGCCAGGCACAGTGGCTCACGCCTGTTGTAATCCCAGCACTTTGAGAGACCAAAGCAGCCAAATCACTTGAGGTCAGGAATTCCAGACCAGCCTGGCCAACATGGCAAAACCTTGTCTCTACTAAAAATACAAAAATTAGCCGGGTGTGGTGGCACGTGCCTGTAATCCCAGCTACGTGGGAGGCTGAGGCAGGAGAATCACTTGAATCTGGGCTGCAGAGGTTGCAATGAGCCAAGATTGTGTCACTGCACTCCAGCCTGGCTACAGAGTGAGACTTTGTCTCAAAAAAAAAAAAAGAAACAAAGAAAAGAAAAAAACAAGGAGGGAAAATGAAAGGAAGTGTTTCCAGTTATTTAACTTAATTCCATTAAGTTAACTTTAAAATTTACATTGAACATTAGAGAGTTCCTCGAATGTATCAAAAATATCAAATATTAGTCTGTCATTTTACATCAGAAGCAATGGGCTTAAGTCCTCTAACCACGTTACAGTTAGACAACACAAATGTTCATCCTTAGTGTTAATTAACTCGAATACCCACATCAAAGGTCTTTATTTTGGACTTTGAATAACGAAATACTGATAATTCAGTTTGTTGATTGAAATCGCAAATCTACAGGTTTTGGGAGATTAAAGTGGGGTCGTTTTTGGAGGGTTGGATCTGGAGTTTGTAAAAATCTGTCATGAGGCTAAAACAGAACTGGAATTCACTTCTTTGTCTCTGAAATCTTAGCGATAAAGCCTATATCCTTAGTGAATAGCCCAGGTTTGAAGAGAATTGATGCTGATGGACTCTTTGTTGCCTACGCTGTATCCTTTATTATTCGTTTCTACCAGACCTTCATTTTGTTTAGATTATGTCCTCCTGTCCCACATAGTCATGTGTTTTAGGGGAAGCTGACCCCAGTCCCACCTCTAGCTATGGGCCTGATTGGCAGAAACATGACAGTCTTATTCCCTTGCTAATGTTTGGTTCAGGGATGGGCATGGGGCACAGCACTGGCCAGTGACAATAGAGGCAAAGTCTGCTGCATGGGGGCAGAAGAGGAGTTCTAAGGAGCATTTCTGGAAGAGAATTATAAAGCTGTATTTCCCTTATTCCTCTGATGTTGTTGTATCTGGATGTGATGCCTGGAACTGCTGCAGCTATGTTGCTACCAACCTGAGGTTAATGTTGATATTAGGAAGGCAGAGCAGAGTAAAAGAGAATCTGGCTCTTCTATGACTATGATAAGCCACTGAATTAACTAACTACTTCTAGACTTCTGTCTTTGTGAGATAATAAATTTCCCTATTGTTAACACCATTGGGTTTCTTTTATTGCCAGACAAATGGACTATAACTGATAAAGCTGTCCGCGGGGATTTGGAGCCTTGGTCGATTCAGTTGCTGAAATAGCTTTTCTAGTGCCACAACTTACAATAATGTGGGCTTTAACTATTCTATCAAAAATGAAAGCTGTGTGAGACAGCTCAGTTGAATATATGCCATTTAAGAGCAAGAATCAAAGCTAGTCTGTGTGATTTGGGGTGATCCAACAAACTTCAGTGTCACTTATTAAATTGGGCTGAAAGTGCCTCTGTTTCCCAGAAGTGCTTTCAGGATAAATTCAATTAAATAGTTTTAAAGTACTTTTAGAAGAAAGACATGTCATGAATTTGAATAATGATAGCCTTTTCTGACATGTCTTTATATCCATATAAGAACAACGGCTTCTAGCATTTCCTCTCTCCTGTATCTATGGAGTAATCATGTTTGTATGCTGTTGTAATTTCAGTGGTAGCAAAGAAAAAAATATTTAAGGATGTCATAGAGAAAACCACTATAGAGATGTACTTCTCAGATCCATTCCCATGTACTCAGACCAAATATCTACCCATAAGTAACACAGAAGTATATAGAATCTCAGAACTAGACTTCTGACACACCAGTAGAGTGCAGATTCTGTAACGTCATGCAGAAACCAACAGAACGTTTTTGAAGAGAGTTTAAAGGCAAAATTGATATTCAGTTATTTTAAGAAGAGACACATACATTTGTGGATAGAATGATTCCAATTTGAAACATGCTAAATTTTCATGAGCAAGAGAATGAATGAATACAATTGAATATTATGTGGCAGTGAAAATTAACAAACAGGATGATCCTATATTTACATCAGTGGATCACACATGTAAAACAATGAACAGAAAAATAAAGCAAAGAATATATACAATATAAGTGTATTAATATAAAATATAGTATCATGTAAAGTGAAACTATTCCTTAGGGATATTCCATTTTAGTAAGTATAAAGAAACTCATGATGATAATCACTGCAGTTAGAATACTCCTTACCTCTGAGTATTAGGAAAGGGAATGTGATCAGAGGGAGAAGCAAATGGGTACTTTACACTTTCAATTATATTGGAAATATTTTATTCTTTAAGCTGAATAACAGACGCATGAATCTCCCCTCTATTATTTTTATAGTTTTATTGTTTATGTGAAATTTTATAAGATGGTAACAATAAAACGAAATAAGACTCAGTTTTATCCGTGATGGGAGACACATTGGTACTGAAAGTTTTCTCAGCTATGTGAGAACGACAGTTTCACTTTCGGTTTAGAAGATTCTAGGTTCACTATTCACTGTGGTATTTTTCTAACCACGTAAAAATGGAACTTTCTTGATACTTATATAAGAGAGCCAGACAAACATGTGAGTCTAACCGGAGTCTGGTTAGTTTGTTATAATTGTTTTTCTTTTAATCCATGTTGAATGTACTACGCCGCACTCTAGCGGGCGGGTTATACCACTCAGATACTCTTCCCCTTGCAAGGTAATTGTGATGTTGTTTTTATGCGTTGATGTGACTGACTCAGAAGATGCCAGATGTCTGCTTAAACATTATTTGTGAGTGTGTCTATGAGAGTGATTCTAGAAGCGGTTAGAGTTTGCATTGGTAGCCTGAGTAAAGTAGATAGCTCTCCTCACTGTGAGAGGGCATCATCCAACCTGCTGAGGACTCAAATAGAACAAAAAGGTAGAGGAAGTTTCACTTTACTCTCAGCGTCTGGCCGTTTAGGCTAAGACTTCTGTCTTCTTCCACCCTTGCACTAGGACTTATGCCATCAGAGCTCCTGGTTCTCAGCCTTTCCGACTCAAACCAGAGTTTACACCACTGGCTTTCTTGGGTCTCTATTTCTCAGCTTCTGCAATTATGTGCATCTATATATATATTATTTATTTTAATCAATATTTATTTTTAGATATTTTAATATAATTTATGTATTTATTTTAAATTAATTTTTATATTATATATAAAATATATATCATATATATATAAAATCTTCTGTTACTTTGACCCATTGCCCTATTGTTATCTTGCAATTAACTTTTCACTGCACATCTCTCCTTCATAGCATTTAAGGCAGTTATATTTATATTCATTTGTGTAGTTATTTGATCAGTGTCTGTTTTCCAGTAGATTGCAAACTCCAAAAAGGCAGACTATCCTGTTTTGCTCACTATTATACTCCCAGAGCATATACTAGTTTAATTAATTGAATTGAATTAATTCAGTATATACTGGTTGAATTAATTGAATAAAATAAAATAGGATCACATCATGTTTTTTTCTTCACTGTAGCCTACTGACATCAAAACCTTCTTAAATTTTTCCCAGTGACATGAGAAAATGGGTTACTGTCTTCCTTCCCACCAAATCTGTTTCATTATTCTTGATTATTATTAGCACTACCTGACTAGTTTATTTTAGGTTTCTCAAACTAAAGCCTGACTTGGAATAGGTGATACCTGGAAACAGGAGGAAG